ATCCGTGTCCACTTGTATGTGATTATTTTTTCAATCCTCAGATTCTGCATTTACTGTTTCAACCATCCTGGTGTGTGGGTTTAATCAATGGATACCGAGCCCACTCACAGAGCACATACTACAGGTCATGGTGGGCTGTGGGGGTCAGCACCCCGATCCTCTGTGTGGTTCAAGAGCTAACTGTAACTGTACTTCCAGTTGTGAGTCTTCTTAAATCCGTTGTGTAATTGGTGAGCCTCTCAATGGAAGCGACAGTAACTCAGCTCAAGTGGGCTTTGGTCCTCAGGGTTAGCAAATAAGCCCGTGACTCCCAGCATGCTGTGACTCGGAGCTCACAAGAGGACAGCTGCATTAGTCAAAAATTAATTAATGCATTGACCGGTATACCTTGGCAAAATTTATCACACTTGTCTAAACATCTGCAGATAATCCATCACTATTGCAATAGGGAGTTGGAGAAACTCACTGCCTGGTAAACCAACTAGTCTATACTCACATTTATGAATTTCCAGTGGAAAACACTGGAAAACACTGTTGGAAAAGCGAAACACAGCAAGAATTAGTTTTCCTCAAATACAGGAGTAGAATTACAGTTAGGAGTCGTTCCAATGCCCGGGTTTGAATCCGGCCCCAGTACTCTCAATGTTAGCATTTTTTACCTCTCTAAATCTCTGTTCTCTTCTCTAAAAAATGGCCATAAAATCTCCTGTTAGGCTTATTCTAGGCATTGAATGAGATAACTGAGGTAAAGCACTTGGTGCAGAGTAAGAGCTTTGGGTGTACAGAGATCGTTGGTGATGGGGAAGAGGAGAGTTCACACTCCACCCGAGAAGTGTAAAACTAACCCCGATTTTGCCAACTCAGCACAACCAGCATGGCCACTCCCAACCCCATTGAGGACAGGCTGCTCTGACCAGCATGGCCACTCCCAACCCCACTGAGAACAGGCTGCTCAGACCTACCAGGTGCTTCCTGTTAGAGTAGACCCCAAAACAACTCACCTAGATTCTGTAAAACATCAGGCACATAGTGTAAAAACAGTCTTATAACTAAAAAGTCTAGGAAAAATACTGGATGGTTTCTCTCATAGCAGGAACATAACGGAACAGACAAGAAAATAATGATAATGATGAACAAACAACCAGACAAGCTATATACCAGAGACATTTTGTGGGGGTGGGGTGGGGAATAGGATCAAAAACTGTGGGGGGAGGGAAATGCACTAGACTATGGTGATGGCACATGGGTGATTTGGTGATGGGAAACCCAAGGGGATTGCAATTGAGATGGAAAAATGCACAAAAATGTGTAAAAATAAACTATTATATATAAAAAAAAACTAAAAAGTCTATCAGAATATATTTAACAAAAGAAATGCTAGACTTGTACCCTGAAAAACAAAAAACATTGTTGAAAGGTATCAAAGGAGAATGAAAGAAATGGACTGGAAAGACATCCTGTGTTCGTGGACTGGAAGACAATGTTGTTAAGCTGGCTTATTCCCCCAAACTAATGACAAATTAAATGAAATTTCTACTAAATTCCCAGCTGGCTGTAACAGGGTGGTCCCCAGGAAAAGGGGAGGTTCCACATTTCCTGCCCCACCCAAAAGGTGGGTGGAGCTGAGCAGAGAAGAGAGGAATCTGGGGAAGAGACTGAAAGAGGAAGGAAGCAGGATGGAGAGCCAGAAGGTGACCTGAGGGAGACACACAGAGCAGAGACATGTGAAGAAACTGTGCCTGCTTCTTGGTCCTGGACTGGTTGAAACAGATGTGGGTGAGAGACCCACGGGGAGTTTCATTATGGCAGCGTTTATCTTGATGTTGATTTTGCTCTTTTCCTCCCAGTCTTGTCTGGCCATTTTTGACCCTTTTCTATGGATCCCAGCCAGAAGGTGCTTTAGGTTGTGATAGGCTTTCAGGCCTGGCTTTGGGCCCATTCCCTTTGGGTGGACTTTTATCCATGAGGGGACGGGTGGCTTTGGGTCCTTATAGAAATGATATTTTTTATCTTTTCTGTATTGCACACTAATTGTATTAAAGTTCCTTTCCATTGAAGCCCTCATATCTTATCTTGATGTGGCGGGCAGATTTGGGGGTTCAGTGGTGCCCCTCTCCCTGCCCTGTAACATGGCTACTTTGCAGAAACCGATAGGCTGATCTTAAAATTCATATGAAAATGCAAAGGGCCCAGAGTAGCCAAGCAATCTTGAAAGAGAAGAAGAAAGTTGTAGGACTCATACTTCCAGAGAGTGTGGTCCTGGCATAAAGACAGACGTACATAAATCAATAGAACAGAATTACAAGTCGAGAAATAAACCTGACATTTATGACCAATTTGTTGTCAAAGAATTCTAAGCTAGTTAATGAGAAAAAATAATCTTTTAAAATTACATGTAACTGGGTAGCCACGTGCAATATACATTGTATATACCCGTTCATACTGTATTAAAAATTAACAATAAGACAGATTGAAAACTTAAATGTTAAGAGCTAAGTCTACAAAATACTTGGAAGATTGCTTGGGAGTAAATCTTCATGGCTTTGGATTAGTCAATGGTTCTTAAATATGACACTAAAAGCACAAGCAGCTAAAAAAAAAATAGAAAAACTAGAGATCATAGCAATCAAAAATGCATATGTTTCAAAGGTACTACCAAGAAAGTAAATTATCATCCATAGAGTAGATGATAATTAATTTAAAACTCTTGGATCTAGAGTATATAACTCACTCTTTTTTTTTTTTAAAGACTTATTTATTTGTGCATACAGAACTGGGGTACAGGCCAGAGGCTCAGGGGCGGCGAGAGGCCTCACCAGAGACAGAGTGGGGAGCAGAACAGGCAGATCGACGAAGTACACTGCTAAGGGGAGCAGCGGGCGGGTCAGGAGAGGTCTGCCGCGCCATGTGGTCACCTCCAGGGCAAGCGGGAATTGAACTCATGCGGAAGTGGCTTTTAGTTTGTTAGTGCTGTGCTTTAATCCGCTGCGCACTCAGGGAGGGCCATAACTCACTCTTACAACTCAAAAATAAAAAGGCAACAATTTTTAAATAGACAAAAGATTTGAACAGATATTTCTCCAATGAAGATAAACTTTAAGCACATGAGATGTCAAACATCATTAACCATCAGAGTAATGCAAATCAAAACCACAGTGAATGATCATTCCAGGCCCACCTGGGACAATGATAACAAGAACAGACAATAACAAGTACTGATGAGGATGAGGAGAAATTAGAACCTTTGGCAAATAGTTTGACAGATTCTCAAATAACTAAATAGAAATTATAAAGATTAGATATATATCATAAATAGATATTGTATGATTTCATTTATGTGAAATGTCCTGAGTAGGCAATGCCGAAGAGACAGAAAGTAGGGGAGTAGTTGTCAGGCTCCCAGGTAGAGAAAGGGAAGGGACCAGGGACTGTCTCTTTTTGGGGGGGAAACAAATATTGTGAAATTAGTGGTGAGAGCCACTCAACTCTATGAATATACTAAAACCACTGAATTATACACTTGAAAGAGGTGAGTGTTATGCCATGTGAATTCTATCTCAATAAAGCTGTTACTTCAAAGCAGAACAAGAACAAGGTAAAGCAGTTGGCTGAATTACTCCGAGTGATTCAACATAGTGCCTGCATCCGCTCCCTAGGCTGATAGAGCGAGCTAAAGAGTCCCACAGCTCTCTGCTCTGTTGTGTCAGAGGCCCCCTTCCCACCCAACGAGAGCATGACCCCCACTCACCTAAGTCCCCTGCCCCGATAGTAACAGCAGCCATATTGGGAACAACACAGCTAATGATTACTGTGAATTTCATGCTAGGCACTCTTAGAACAGCCCTCTCATGGGTAGGAATCCCAAGACTGATCTGGTCACTGCAGGAAACCTCCTGTGCACAAGCCACAGAAGGGTCAGTGCACTCAGTCTACCCCTTACAACAGCATTCAAGGCCCGAAGCACAAGCCCCACTTCTGCACCTCAGGCCCTCTTTCCTCTCATTTTACTGCAGCATGCTGGTAGGACTGCCAGATAAGAGACAGGACAACCAGTACAGTTTTTCATTTCAAATAACCAATAATCTTAGTGGACGTTTGTTTCCAATATTGCATTGTCTGAAGTCAAAATGGACCCGGGCGGCATGTCACTTGCTGTGTATCAAGCAACCCGCTGGCACGAACTCCCAATTGGTGCTGACACGGGACCCTTGAGAGCATTGCATTTGTTCTTCTGCCTGCCTGAAATTCTCTTCCCGCAGGAAGTCACATGGCTCCCTTTCAAAATGCAGGTCTTTGTCCAAACAGCACCTCATCATAGGGAATCTCCCAAATAACTTCTCCCCAGGACTCCTAGGCCCACATCCCTTGGCATTGGTCACCAACTGACATGTCAGGCATTTGATTGTCAATTGCTAGCCTTCTTCTCAAAAATACAAGCAACTCCTTGAAGGCAGCGCTATTTTTTTTATCCACTGCTGCCTTCCCAGTGCTTAGAACAAGACCTGGCAAGGAAGAGACAACAAATGACTATCTATTGAGTGAATAAATAAGTGTTGTGCCTGGGTTCCAAACAGCCCCAGAAAACAAAAACACTCCATCAATGGTGTTTCACAAATGAAGAATCTAAGACACTGAAAAACCAAATCACTCACACAAAGCCCACTGCAGTCAATGCTGGGGCTGTGTCCTGATGCAGGAGTCAGACCCTGGGCCCCGGTTTTGACCCACCTCACTGCACCAGTTTTTCATCGCCGACAAAGCAGCAAGATGGAGCTAAGGCAGCAGGTTTCTGCCTCCCTCCCTTTTCAATTATTCAGAGTTAGAGGGAGAAAGGAGCCGCCAACACACCTGAGTGTCTATATGTGCTTCAAACATCTCAGTCCCAGAACTTAATTGTCCTTCCTGGTTTGCCTGCACAATTACTGTTCAACATAAAGTATATCGAAGAACCACTTAAGCATCCACATAAGAGAGAAATTCGTGTGGGTGTTTGTACTTACTTTTATTTCTTCTTGAACATCAGGATTGCGGAAATTTAAATCAGGTTGCTCCTTCGTAAACTGGTGAAAATAACATTGCTGTCGTACTTCATCAAAGTGCCAACTGGAGTTTCCATATACACTTACCTAGCACACAGAAAACAGCAAGTCAGTTGGTTAGCATTATTCGCACGATGGTATTGCTCACAAAGGAATAAAATCACTTTCACTGACCCCATATAAGCTCAGGGCATAAAACCTCCGAATGTTCCTTCGAGTTGTTTAACTAGGTAAGTTAATTCCTTGAATGTCACCCCTGACCTAATGCCCTACAAAGTGGATATGAAGTATTTATACAACAGAAGTTTTCATAACAAACACAAAAGCAAGCCTATGTTCTCAAACCCAAAATAAGGCTGATTGAAGGAACAGCCATTTATAATATATTTTCTTTAAACTTCTGTCTAGATTCAACTCTGACTTGTGAAGAAAAAGTAAAGGGTGGTCAAGTTCCACAGGTCTCGGAACTTGAGTTGAGATAAAGTGAATATTTAAATTATATCCTCAGAAAATCCTTAAAGTCATTCACTTAAAAACGACTAGTTCTTGGAAATACAGGAAATCTGGCCCCTTAAGGTCTTGGTCCCCAGCAAGTATGTGGCACTGGTGCTGTTTTCATCTTTCTAGAACTGGACATATCCATGACATCACTCTCTTGCTTGACCTTCCTGTATCTCTCCCAGATCTGTCTTAGTCCCCTTAAATGTGAGAACGCCTCTGAGCTCTACTACCATTTCATGCTAAGAGAGCATCTGGACAACATTTGAAAACTGAGGGATCTTCATATAAATCTTTTTTCTATTTAGTCATAAGACCTAGTCACACTAGCTCCACATCACCATGGCAACAAATGGCAGAAGCTAAGTAGTAGCTGTGGTCTTTTAAGGAAATACACCCTCATGCAAGGACTTCATGGACCTCCCAGACACTAGCCAGGGTAAGTTATTTACACTATGTGTAATTGAGAAAAGGTTGATATTCAGAATACAAAAAGAACTCCACAAATCAATTTCAATGGGACAGTTCAAAAGAAAATCAGGGAAAGAAACCATAAGTAGCAATGTCACAGAAATAGAAACTCACGTGAATAAATATGAAAAAATGTTTAACATCATTAATAATTGAGTAAGTACAACATGAGTAATGAGATAAATCATCATTAGTAATGAGTAAAATTAAGACTTCATAATGATAACAATTTGTTTGTTAGTACCAGAATTAATGAGAATATTTCTTTCTATACTGCTGGAGGGATATCAATTGGTACAACCATTTTGATAATCAATTTGGCATTATATTGTAGAGTCAAGCATGCAGTATCCTGCACTTAGCAATTTTACTTCTTGTCATTAGTCATGGGTAAGAAGCTAGTGCACTTGTACCTAAGGAGAAATAAATTAATGATGGTTTACTCTCATTAATAGTATCACTGTTAATAGTAAAACAAACAAAAAACACCCAACTAGAAACAGAAAAGCTGCCCATCAACTGAAGAACAGATAAGTAAATCATGCTTATCCATTCATGTGCCGGAATATTATACAATGGTGAAAATGTATGCATCACAGCTACAGAAACTACAGGAATGAGTGAAAAAGCCTAGTTATAAAGACTACTTATACCATGACAGTTATTATAAAATCCAAACAAGACAATTGAATAATTTAAAAAATACATATAGTAGATGTACCGTAGGTAAAACATAAAGCAAATGCTTTGAGAAATACAAGATTCAAGGCAGTAGTTACATCTGCAATGTGGCATGAGGAGTGGGGGACAGAGAGGAGCTCTCAGGCAGTATCACCTGTGTGGGTCAATATTCAAGTTCTTAGTTTGAGAATGGGTCATTAATGTTCATCATATGATTATATTCCCTAGGTTAGGTATATAATACATTTATGTTAAACAGTTTTATTCAAATATTACTGAATATACGCAACTATATATATTTAAGTTTGTAATGAAATCAGTTTTCATCCCTAAACAATCGAATCTGCTTCCTGTCACAATAGATTAGCTTGTAAGTGAAATCAATAGTATATTCTCTTTTATGTGGCTCCTTCCACACCTCAGAGTTATGTTGAGTTCATCCATAGTGTTGCAAGGGAAAGTTCCTTCCTTTAAACAACTGAATAGTATTCTCTCATACTGCTATACCACAGGGTATTTATAAATCTATCATATATTACACATATTCATGTATGAATCAGCTATTGCATTTTATAAGCCACAGTCTTGACTATAGTGGAGAACTGAGGGAAGGGGAAGATGGTGGTGCCAAAGGAGATGGCTGTTACAGTGGTAGAGGCACCAGATGATACATTTGGAAGGACAGACAGCCATTTTTAAAAGCAGCTGTGGAGTTGGACTGACTAGATCTGATCCTTAACCTGTCCTTTAGGACTGGTGTGCCTTGGACAAAGTACTTAACATTTCTCTGCCTCAACCTGCTCAACTGTAAAGCAAGAATTAAAACCTAACTATGATGATAGGATGGATTAAACCATAAATTTAAAACACTTAGCACAAAGGTTAACATATTTGCATTTGGTAAATAATTGCTAACATTATCATTTAAGGAAGTGGGTATATTTGGAAAAATAAAAAATCAAAGAGGTAAAACTTGCAGGACTTGCCAATGACTTGTTTACTAGGCTGCATGTTGGTACCAATCACTGAACCCGGGGTATGAGAGATTCCAGAGCTGGGGGAAGATCACAGTCAGCTTTGACACATACTGACTTTGAGTGCGCTCTTAGGTCAGCTAAAAGTTCACAACCAGGAGGCAGCCTGTTTAAATGCTCAAAGAGAAGGAGCAAGAAGAGAGGACAAAGATGATACAGAGCAAAAGGCTTTGCAGCAAGAGGAGAAAATGTGAGGCCAAGCAGCAACAAGAACTGTCTTAAGATGCAGGTAGACTTGCCAGATGAAGTACAGGACACCTAGATAGAGCTGATCTTTAGATAAACAGTGAACAGCTTTTAGTATAAGTATGGTCCCTGCAATATTTTATACAAAAAAAAAATACTTTGTTTATCTAAAATTCAGAATCATTGGGCTTACTGGATTTTTATTTGTAAATCCCAGATAGGAGGCACCCTCTATTGCAAAAGAAGTGAATACAAAGAATGGGTATGAGGGCAGGCAGGTTCAATAGCTTCTGTTCTCTCTTTGATGTAGAGTTTGCTGTAAGAGTGATAAGAGGTGGCAGGTCAGATGTTTGAAGAAGAGGGAAGGGATGAGGTCAGTTGGAATTTTGTAAAATTCCCAAGAAGCCTGTCCCAGTTCAGGCTGGGACAATGATTGTGTGATGTCCGCAGAGGCTTAGACACCACAGTTCCCACAAGGAAAAAAAAGGTGGTTGGGTTGGGTTGGGTTGATTGGGGGAGGCAAAAAGCCAGAAAATTCTCTAAGCTGGAGAGAGTGAGAAGGGAAGGCGAGGGAGAGATTAATAGAGAATACAAGTTTTAAACTGCTGGACATCGGCGCTACAATAAAAACAGAAAGGCAAACATTAGCAGACTCGGGTACTTATTTCTATTTCTTCGAGAAACATTGCTCCCTTCCTATGACCTGTTCCCATTATGTTTCCCTCAAAGAGCTTTACAAATAACTGTCTGATCCCTGACTCTCTGTCCATCTGCAGTCTGTAATCAGCCAAGCTGGTACTTACCCAGTTGTTGGGTGGTATGACCATGCCATTTGTATGGGTACAGTTGTGCCAGATATAATAATCGGTATATTTCCCTTCCTGCTTCCGACTCAACTGAAACCAAGCATGTTTATCACTTGTGTGGTTTGGTATGAAATCAATGATTAATTTCAAACCTGAGTGAAAACATTTCAAATGTTAGGAAAAGATTGTTAGAAATACGTGACAATGAAGGAAAAATGCTTAAGAAAAACATTTCTCCAGATGTTTTCTACTCCCATCCCACCTGCTAACATTCACTTTACCTTTATCATGTATGGCTGCAACCAGATTCTCAAAATCTTTCATGGTTCCAAAAATGGGATCGATTTCTCGGAAATCTTCAACACCATGACGGAAATCTTTAAGGGATGATTTATAAAATGAAGTGATCCAAAGAGTTTTTATATTTAAAGTGGTGATGTAGTCCAGCTTATCCTGAATACCTAAGGGGAAAAAGTCCAGTCCATGAGAAGTAAATAAAAGTTGGTTTTTTGATTGATGGATTAAAATAAGATAATTATGCTTAAAATGGAAATGTTTGAGAGAGAAACTTTTAGAACTTTGCTGAATTTGAGTAAAATTCAAATAACAAGGTTTAGTTCTATCAAAAAAAATCAAATGTGTGTTTAGCCATAACCTTTGACCTTTAGCATAGATACATAACTTAAAAAAAAAACAACTATCGGTGGCTTGTTTATATTTTAATTCAAAACCTAACAAGGTTTTATTCTACACATGGATTCTGCACAGTCAGTCAAGGCATTGGTATTGGGCTAAGTGCCAGGACACAAATAACAAAAAATAAAGGCGAGCAGCAGTTCAGCTGGTCTAAACGGAAAGAGCCCCTTGTTGCATGGACTTCGGAGCGCTTGCAATGTGACAGCCTGAACTGAGATGTGCCACCAGTGGAGAGCACACACAGAAGTCTAAAGACCTAGTAAAAAAATAAAAAAGGTAGCTATCTCATAAGGATTTCATGCTGAAATTCAATATTGGATATATTAGATTTAACAACACATTATCAAATTTAATTTCACCTATTTATTTTTCATTTGTTTAAAGTGGCTCCTGCTATATCTGTGGTTTGGATTCTAGTTCTCTGGATAGGAAGCAAACAGAGGTGGGAATGGGATGGTGGGGGATGCCAGGAGTTCTGGCAGCTTCTGAAATGCCGTTTAGAACATTTTCACACTGCAAGGTCTTAGCCCAAGGCTGCAGGGCAGAGGAAGCCAATGGCCCTGAAAGCAGTGGCAGAGAAGGATATGGGTAAGGATGGGTCAGAAAGAGGGGCTTCTAGGCAAGGAAAACTGAGTAGGCAGGACAGCTGCACAGGGCCTAGGGGCTAGGGAAGGAGACCCTGGTGAGCAGAAAAAGACATTTAAACCAACAGTCACTCTCTGCTTTTGCTGAATTTGGACTGTTTTCTTGTTGGCTCACAAGGAAGCCAAGAATTAATACAGAAGAAAATTCTAGACCTGACCAAGAGGAGATATAGTAATGAAAACTTGTACTTGGAACCTTGCAGGATAATTGGTGCATGTGTATGTGTTTGAGTGTTGGAGATGGGGAGGGTGGAGAGGCCTTCTAGTTCAGAGTCCTAAATGTACATTCAGAGACTTGAGTACAGTGTGTTATCTGAGAGACTTCCTGCAATCAGAGGTCACTGGCCTGTTGGAGGTCACAGATCCCAAAGCACAGAGTTGCCCAGTTCCTGGAATCTGGCCTCTTTCCTTATCACAAGAGCTGCTTATTTGGTCCTTTCTCCCCTTCAACAAGCCCATAAGGGTGGGGCTGAGATCTCAGAATGTCAACAGGTCACAAAAGGATTCTGATTTAAGTCAGAACAATACATCTTAAGACCATCACAAAAACAGGGTGCTTAAAACAAAGTGACTTGATAGACACAAAGAAAACAAGGGATTCCAGGCCGGTCCTCAAGACAGAAGCAAACAGCAACCCAAACTGCAAGCTGGAATGGTCCCTTCAAATAATGACAGCAAAATCCCCGCAACTCTGAGAACAAATACCTCATGTTTCTAGAAGCAGCCAGTTGATAGAGCTGACAAATGTAAAAATGGAATTGGGCTGTTCCTGTAAACAGGAACTTGGGAAATATACAGGTTACCAAGGTTGGGCCAGGAAATGGGGAATGTACTATTTTGGGGAATTTTAGCTCCCCATTTATGTTGAAACATCACTTTTTCTAAGCACTTACTAAGGGAAAAGCCAGGGGTGCTAGCTAGGCCTACGGGGGGTATGTTGGGAAGCCAGTCACACACAGATCTAAGAAGACAACTCACACAGGTCAAAACAGCACAGGCGCTCTGGAAGGGAAGTTCATACTGACTGGGAGGATTATAAAGAGGAGATAAGGATTAATGCAGGAAATGGGATTGAACTGCACCTTGAAGGACAGATAGCATTTCAATTAGTGAGGCTGTAGGAAGAAAGCAGTCAGCAACAAACACAGCACATGATAGGAACAAAAATGAAATTCCTTTCATGAAGGTTTGTTATTTGTTATTATTTCACTAAAGAGAATTGAAGGTTTTAAGTTTATTTGTAATATAGTAATGAAAACTTGTACTTGGAAACTTGCAGGATAATTGGTGCAAGATTCAGCTCATTCACAGCTCCCACACTCTATTATACCAACCCATTTTATTTTCATCAACCCAAGCAGCATTATCAACACAAATAGTTTGTTTCTTATTGTTGGCCCTTAGCAGGGAGGTCCTATCAGTCAATTGTCCAGGTCAGCTCCAAACTATTCCTGCTGTCTGGCATATTTGACTAGCATCCTGGTTCCACAATAAATTGCAATTCTATTCTACACATAAGCCACAAGACATTATTAACATTAAAAAATAATTTTATTTATTATGGTGGCACACGGGTGATTTGGTGATGGGAAACCCGCGGGGATTACAATCGAGATGGAAAAAAAAATGTGCAAAATGATGTAAAAATAAACTTTTGTAATAAAAAAATAATAATTTTATTTATATTTGTAACCACTATGGATGCTTCTTTTTGGCTATTAATTCAAGTAATGACCATCACACAGTCTTGCCTTTCCCCCCTTCCTTCATTTTTCAGTAATTAAGCTTTAAAAACACAGTCTATACCTTTTAAAGACACCACTCAATTTTTATCTAAACTGCTACTTGAAGCAATTAAAAGGGGAGCGGGAGTGAAGTGGCACAAATGGAGGTGATGTGGGGGGGGCACCCAGTGATTTGGAGTAAAGAAAGACGGCTGCTTTGGTGGTGGGTGTGAGTGGCGACCTACATCTCAGGAGGTGGGGACCTGTGCCCCTAAATCACATCTACTGCTGTCAACCTGTGGTATCTTAATTAAATAATAAAAATGAAATTTTAAAAAGTGCTATCGAAGTTTTAGTTACTAATGAGAAAGTCTCAGCCAGATTTCCAAACCAGCCAATGCAAGTATTGGGGACGCAATCGTAAACTTCACTCACAAATAATCAGCTACAAGTACACAGAAAACAGGCTGCAGGGGGGGGGAAGCAGCCCGTGCAGGAGGTCAGGCTTGATGACCGACCAAGCCTAAGTACTTGGCTCGCAGTAAACTGAACAACTCCTTGAAGTTAAAGGAAAAAAATTGCTAACTTTCACTACGTTTGACTGCGTGGTTTAAAATACCATAAACAGCAGAACTTGACCTGACCAAGCCATACGGAATGTGCTTACCCGACAACCTAGGCATAGTTGCGTTCCAAGGACTGAGAGAGAGCACTAATCTCCCCGACCCCACCTTAATTCCCCACCCCTGCCCAGGTACCTTTCAGATCTCCGTTCCCGTCGCCGTTGCTGTCTTTGAAAGATCGCGGGTAGATCTGGTACATGGGCCCCGCCTGCCACCAGTCTAGGCACTTGGGGGAGATGGCGATGATGGCTATGGTGGCCGAAATGAGCGTGAGCACAGCAGCTACAGTGAGCCAGAAGAGGACCTCGCGGGGCACCCGGTAGCGAGCCTGGTGCGAGAAGTGGAACAGTACCTCCTTGGGCATGCCGGCGTACGGCTGAATGACCTTCAAGGGGTCGGAGTCTTCGGGGTCAAGGATGCCCACCACGCTGTGCTGCGGGCTGTCCTCTGGGCTGCGGGGATCCAGGTCCTGCTCCAGGTTGTCTTCATTTTGGACAAACCCGTTGTTTGTCTGGCAAGCCTTCATCCGCATCCCGACGGAGTCTCCCTTGTTTTTCTTCTTAGCCATGTCTGAGCTCTTTCTCCTGGGAATGTCCTCCGTCAATAACAAAGGTAGAAAGGTGGTTTGCTGAAATGCTTGCTTGTGTTAATGAGATCTTCGTGGTTTATAAATAAACCTACTGGCCAAAGTCCAGAGGAGGGAGAAAGGGTAAAGGTAAAAGGGGTTAAAAAAATTTCTTCACACCTGTGAAGCTGATGAAGCTGCAGTCACAATACTGGGGGATTGAACCATGCAATAGGGCAAAAGCAAGGAGGAAAAATGGGAGGAAGAAGCAGGTTTCCTTGCCACTTACGCTGTCACTTGATTCAAGTCAACCAGGGTTCACAGCAGAATTACTCACTGTGGTCAAAAGTGGAAACAAACCTAATGGCTATCAGTGAATGCGTGGATAAACAAATGCGGTGTGCATGTACCGTGGAATATTATTCGATCTTGAAAAGTAAAGAAATTCTGCTATATGCAAAAATGTAAATAACAAAATCATCACGATATAAATCAGACTCGAAAGACAAATGTTATATGATTGCAAGTACATGATATATCATAGATAAGTGCATAGTCAGAAGTGTGGTTACCATTAATGAGGGAAAAGGGGGATGGGGTGATATTGTTTAATAAATTCAGAATTTCCACTTGAGAGGACGAAAGTTCTGGAGGTGGGTAGTGGTGATGTGCCCAACAATGTAAAGGTGTTTAATGCCACTGAACTGTACACTTAAAAATGGCTAAAGAGGCAAATTTTGTTTTATATATACTTGACCATGATTTTTAAGTTAAAATTTTAAACAGTTTTTTTTTCTTTTTACCTAGGTATGAGAAAAAGAAACAAATATTGAATTTTGCCAGAGGGACAGTTTTCTTGTTTGTTTGTTTTTTCTGTTTTGAAGTTCTCTTCTCTTCCTACAAATTTAAGAGGAAGAGGATCTGGAGACTGAAACTAATTTTATTTTACTTCACTTCAAGCCAACCCTATAAAGATCCATTTGTATGCTCAGTTTCACCCTTCAGTCATGTTTCCTAAACTGGAATTCCAAATTCCTAAATTTGGAAGTATCTTCCAAAGAGGCCTTTGTGGAGTGGGTAGAATCCCAGTTACAGAAAGTTTAAGGGCTTTCCTATATCTAAACTGTTTATAATATAAACACTAAAGAGCTGTTTAATCATTGACTAATTTAAAATACATTGCAACCCTGAAAAAACTGCATTAAAGTTAGGTGTGTTTTTCTAGAAGACTCTGCAAGTTTTAAAACAATGTCATGATTCATAGTTTCCAATTACTGGCCCTTAAAGAGCCTTAGTAATCATTTGATCAGATAAGGTTTTTAAATAAGTGAAGTTATCTGAATCAATACTATTACTGAATTTATTATATAGAAGCAAAATGTGGTACAGAGGAATGAATTTGGCAAACTTAATTTTTTTTTTTAATGAGTAAATCCCAGTATGTGTCTTGCTGGCTATACAGTTGGCAAGTGTATATTGGTGGGAATATAGACTGGTCTAGTCCCTATAGAAAAGAGGAAGAAGTTTCCTCAAAATATTAAAAATAGACCTACCATATGATCCAGAAATCCCATTCCTAGGACTCTAGTTGAAGGATGCAAAGCATGAACTGAAAGGGCTAGAAGCTCACCTATGTATCACAGCACTATTTACAGACATGACCTAAGTATACAATGACTGATGAATGGAGCAAGATGTGATGTATTTATACAATAAAGCATAACTCAGCTATAAAAAAAAGGTGAAATCTTACCATTTGCAACCACATGGAAGGAACCAAAGGAGATTATGCTAAACAAAATAAGTCAGAAGAAGAAAGACAAGCATCGGATGATTTCACTCTGGAAATTTGGCTATAGAATTGAGCCTACCAAAGAGTAGGTGTGTTTTCCAGCCACCACTTGTGGCTGTGGATGTGTTAACATCAATCTGAAGAGATGTGCAGCTAGGCACCTAAATCATATACAGTGTTGCAACTAATGTTATATCAGTGAGAAAGATAAAATTGAAAAAATCCACATACATTTTACTGGACAACAACATCAGTTATTTTAAAGAAAAAACAAAGCTATGTTGTTTACTTCCTTCTTCATGCCAAATAAATTCCAGGTGAATCAGAATTAAAGGTTTAAAAGTACAGCTGCAAGAATTCTGGACAGAAATTTGTGTACTTAAAATAACAATCTTAGAATTGGAACATCTTTCCAAATACTATATGAAATACAACGCTTGTCTATAAAGGAAAAGATTGGTAAATTTTATTCCAGAAATTAAAAAGAAACAGAAAAAGCCAAAAGGATACATGACAAAATAGAAGAAAATATCTGTAACACATTTGAGAAGATACTTTTCAAAATATAAAAACATTCAGACAAGGGAGTGTGGGTATAGACAGTTGACAGGAAAAACATACCAAAGGCTAATATACATAAAATGTAAATTTTACTCAAAATGAATAGAAGCAAAAATAAAAAGACATATTAATTTTATATTATCATTTTGGCAAAATGATTATGTATGATAATATCAATTTTATAAAAACTATATAAAAAACAATCACAAATTTGTGTCAGGAGCATAAATTAGTGCTATCTTTGTATAGAGAAACTTGGGTGTATTTATCAAAATTATAAGTTGTATAACAACCTTTAATTCAGAAGTTACATGTGAATTTTTACTTTGATTATGTAACCAGCTAGATATATGCACGATGAGGAACACTGCAACTAAATTAGGAGCAATCGAAATATCCATTCATACAGAAATATTTTAATAAATTATGACATATTCAAACAAAGAATGAGTTTATCTGGACTGATAAATGTCCATGAAATAGAAAAACTTCAGAAAAGTATATATAGTATAATCAGAATTGTGCTTGGGGGAAAATTGTGCATGCATAGTAAATTCTCAGCTACTGGTTGACCAAAGACTGAGAATCAGGGAACGAGGGTGATATCCGTTGTCTCTTATTTTTCATCTTACCCTGATGGTGTAATTTGCCTTCGACATACATGATTTTTGCAGTAAATAAAGGGGGGGGAGATGTTTACATCCTTTAACTTAGTATTTCCACTTCCAAATATCTATTTTAACAAAAAGTTGTGTATAATAAGGTTTATTAATACCTTATTATACCAAACATTGGGAATAAATTTAATGTTCAATGACATGATTAACTAAAGAAATTATTGCATACATATAATAGAATATCAGTCATTGAGCATATTTGCAAAGATTTTAATGACATGGAAAAAATCTCACATCACAAATATATAGAAATTGTCCAATGATGTGAAAAAAAAAATGCCATGCATATGAAGGCCCATTAGGAAATGTTTAGTGTTTATTTCTGGGTTCTAAGATTATGACTGACACTCATTTTATTCTCAAAACTTTTTAAGGATTTGTTATAATCTATCTACAGTTAATATGCATTACTCTGTCACTGGGAGGAAAAAATCCCTTGAGTTGGGAGTCTACTTAAAACTTCCAGGTAGGTGGTTCTTCCTAGCAAACCCACCCCAAATTCATAAACACCCCCTAGGAATATAAAAAAGGGGGGGGGAGAGAGAAAAGCAAACTTTCAAAAGCAAAAAGAAAACATGGGTTCAATGAACAAATATTGAACTACTGTAGAAAGTTGGTAGTAATGTGGAAAAGGTATCCACAGAGCCAAGAACTTCAAACAAGTTACTTACTTTGAAGAAGATTTTAAAGGAAATACGGGTTGTAGAAAGTGAAACACACTGCTGTTAAAAGTTGTAAGCATGGCCCTCCCTGGTGGCGCAGCAGGTTAAAGCACAGCACTAAGAAGCTTAAGCCACTTCCGCATGAGTTCGATCCCCGCATGAGTTCGATCCCCGCCTGCCCCGGAGGTGACCACATGGCGCGGCAGACCTCTCCTGACCCGCCCGCTGCTCCCCTCAGCAGTGTACTTCATTGATCTGCCTGTTCTGCTCCCCGCTCTGTCTCTGGTGAAGCCTCTCACCGCCCCTGAACCTCTGGCCTGTACCCCAGTTCTGTATGAATAAATAAATAAATCTTTAAAAAAAAAAAAGTTGTAAGCATGAATAACAAAGAACAGCAAGGAAGATTTTAGAGCTAACCCGGGAAATCAGAATTAAGATTCAGAGATAATAAAGATAAATGAGTTAAATAAATTCAAATCCAAAGTAAGGCACACAATCATGATAATCAAAGATGACTAGCTAGAAAACAGAGGTCAGAACAATGGGGAATACCACAGGAACCAGAAACACCCTGCAACTGAAGAAACAGATATACAGAAAGCAGTACTTGATGAATATATTTAATGTATGTGTATGTATACACATGAATTTCAAAGCCATAACATCAAGACTCCCACACAGCAGCTAGCCTTCAGAGTAACACAGGACATATAACCCATCATATCTGTAAATATTCAACATAGCAGGATTTTCTCTATCACATTTACCTGTTCACAGCCTCTGTGGGATAGGGTAGGATCTGCTATAGTCGTCTTTAAATTTCCAGCATCTACCTCAGTGCTTGGTATGTTAAGTGGATAAAATAATAAATACATATAGAACTAACCTTATGATGGACAGGGAGGAGGAGAGAGAAGGTAGAAGAGAAAGAAAGGGGGAAGAGAAGTAGAAAAATGAAAAGTACATTTTGCACAAAAACATAGATTTCTATCACTTAACCAATGTTCTTGAGGTAGTACAGTTTAATGAGTGAGGTTTTAAGTCTTTTAAGACAAAGGAAGGCAGATTCAAGCACTGTCTCTACCATTTGCTGAGTTTGATTATAGACATATTTGTCAATTTCTCTAAAGTCTCTACCTCGACTGTAAAATTTAATTTTATTACAGGATGAACATTATAAATGCAGTCCAGAGTAAGATGTTTTTTTTAAATAGCTCTAATTAGAAGGACACAGAAAAATAGATTTATCCCAGCTAGAGGAGGAAATTAAATTTATATAACCACTGAAATCACAGGAAATATTTCAAAATATTTTTGCTGGATGTTTAACTAGTTTAAAACATTTTATAACCAATATAACAAAAAAGTAGCAAAAGAAGGGTCAACAGAACATGAAAATATAATAAACATCACACAAAACTTTACTGCCTCTCAGATATAAAGACCTAAAATGAGCTTATAAAATCAACAGCTAAATTATATTCCTGATATTAAAAGAAAATAGAAAAGTTACATGGCATAAAAATCTTTACATGCAAGTAGCTTCTTGACAATTAAGAAATCAAATCATTGTTAAGGTATCTGACAGATTAACTGCATTAATTTATGCTAAGGATAACTTTTTTTTTTTTTAGTGCTTTCATGCACTGAACCTAGTGTGGTCATGAGATATGACTTGACTTGGAAAATGGAACATTATCAAACGTGGCACAAAAAGAGACCTTAAAAAATGTTTGTGCATTTCTGCTTCTCTCTTGGACTGGTGTCATCACAATGAGATTCTGCCCTGGTTAGCCTGCTACAGGATATGGAATAACATATGATACATAATGGGTGAATCAGTATCACTACATTATTAACTAATGTCTATAGTTGACAGTAACTTTCACTCTTTGTATTGTATAGTTTTGTGGGTTTTGACAAGAGCTTAATGTCATGTATCCTGGGTAACGTTTACATGTATCCACATACATAGTATCATATGGAACAGTTCCACTGTCCCCAAATTCCCTATGCTTTACCTATTCAGTTCTCCCTCCCTAAACTTTGCAACCACTGTCCTTATAGTTTTACCTCTTCCAGAATATTATATAGTTGAAATAATATAATATTATTCTTCTTTTACTTAGTAATATGCATTTAAGTTTCCTCCATGCTGTAACTTCATCATTTTCATCGTTAAATAATATTCCACTGTCTGGATGTGCTACAGTTTGCCACATACTAAAAGATGTCTTAGTTGCTTGCTTCCAAGTTTTGGAATAAGCTATAAGCTTATGTATAAGGCTATAATTTTGTGTATATTTTTGTGTAAACAGATGTATTCAACTCACTTTGGTATTTACTGAAGAAAGCAATTGTTGGATAATGTAAAAATATGTTTAGTTTTATAAGAAACAGTCAGACGGTATTCAAAGGATCTTTACTATTTTTCATTCTATTAAAATTTTACTTTGGTTAATTTAGTTCATGTGTTTGTTTTCCCTACATGCCACATTTGAGAGAAACCAGCTTGTTTTCTCTGTGTCCATTTTTTATTCTCACTAGCAACAAGAGAGAGAATTCCTGTTGCTCTACATCTTGCTCACATTTAAAATTGGGTGTTGGGACATTCATGACTCCATTAGGAATAGAGCAGTCTCTCAGTTAATTCCTTTTTATTGTTGAGAAATACACCATTGCATGGCTAGACCCTGTTTACAACTTCACAGTTGGGTTTCCTCCCTTCAATTATTTACTATTATAAATAAAACTGCTATGAAGCTATGTATAAGTTTTGGGAGGATGTATTGTTTCTCTTGGGGTAAAATGGCTAGGTTATATGGACATGTTTAACATTTAAAAAAAAAAATTTAGAAAGTGGTAGTACCATTTTAACTTCCTTCCTGTTTATGAGTGTTCTAGTTCTTCTGCATTCTTGTCCACTCTTGCTATAGTCAGTCTAACTTTGGTAATTCTAGTATTATGTAGTGGTCTCTCTTTGTGGTTTTAGTTTGTATATCCTTAATGACTAATGGTGAGTATCTTTAGTACTTACTAGTCATCCATAGTTTTCTTTGGTGAAGTTGAGGCTAAGCATTCTCACTCTGCCCATGTGGGCCCTCCCCAAAGCCACTCCACACTGGATACTCCTGCTTCTTCATAGCTCCTAGCTTGGCCCCAAGTGTGAATGCACCCGTTGAGCAATAAAGCAAAAATGTGTCCTTTGGGAGAGGTAGCTCAGAGGTGATATGCATATCTTTATGACAGCACTTTATGTACTAACTTCATTGCTGAATAACCTACATCCTACATAAGATACACCATCTTAACCATTTTATATGTGATAATCTATATATTGTAATATGTCACGTAGTTTTGTTTTGTGGTGAAAGAATTAAGAGCTCATCCCTGAGCTATTTTAAAGTCTGTGGTATAGTATGAAATATAAATCACGATGCATTTTAAAGTGTACAAACCAGTTTATTAAGTATATCCACACTGTTGTAAGGCCAATCTACAAAACGTTTTCTTCCTGCAAATCTAAAACTCAAATAAGCAACATTTCTCCTATTTTTTTGCTTCTCCCGACCGTGGTAACTATCATTCTACTTTCAGTTTCCATGAGTCTGAACTATTTAGACACCTCATGTAAGTGGAATCACACAATATTTATCTCTTAGTGGTGGTCTATTTCACTTAGCCTAATCTCCTCAAGATTCAGCCATACCATAGAGGATGACCAATTTCTTTCGTTTCTAAGATTGATTAAGTTTCCCTCATATGTATTTACCACATTTTGTTCATTCATTGGAGTGTCAGACACATGGGTTGTTTTCATTGTGAATAATCTTTCTATGAACATGGTTGTGCAAATCTCTCTTTTGAACCTGAGTGGTTTTTTTTTTTTTAAGATTTATTTATTTATGCATACAAGAACTGGGGTACGGGCCAGAGATGCAGGGAGGTGAGAGAATTCACCACAGACAGAATGGAGAGCAGAACAGGAAGATCTACAGAACTACACTGCTGAGGGGAGCAGTGGGAGGGTCAGGAGAGGTCTGCCATGCCATGTGGGTCACCTCCCTGGTGGGGGCTCAAACTCTTGCTGCAGTGGCTGCTGATAGCTTTATGCTGCACTTTAACTTGTTGTGCCACCAGGGAGGGTCCCCGACTCAGGTTTTGATGCTTGTGGATAGATAGCCAGAAGTGGGATTGCAGATCAAATGGCAGTGCTAATCCTAATTTTTTTTAAAAAAAAAAAAGTCCATGGATTTTTTTTTTCTTAATGGTTGCACAAAGGTTTTAATTTCTTCAGATCCTCAACAAAACTTGCTATTTTCTGTGTTGCTGCTACTGTATCTATCCAAATGTATCAGATGTGGCATCTCATTATGGTCCTGAGTTGAAAATTGATTAGTGATACTGAGCATCTTTCATATGCTGTGACCATTTGCATATCATCTTTAGAGGAATGTCTGTTCAAGTCCTTTTCCCATTTTTAAATCAGATTATTTGGCTTTTGTTAATTGAGCTCTAGCAATTTTGTATTTGATTATTGAACAGGCATTTACAGCAGTGGGTGCAACCTTAAGCTGGGTGTTTCAGCCTGGTAAGAGGCAAATGTGTGTATGTATCTCAGCCCCAAATTTGTGATAATCACAGCTCAGGAATTTCTGTGGCTGCTGCCAACCCCAACAACTGCTATTAATAGTCACACTTCAGTACTGTGCCTTCCATGAGGTGGTTGATCTTCCAGCCATTATACCCACATACAAACACAGAAGGAAGAATAATTAGATTTTTTATGTGACATCATTGGTGAATATAAATGAACCCACAGTATAGTGGGCTGATTTATAAAGGGCTTTAAACTTAGGGTACTTACATATACAATTTTAAGCTAATGCTTAAGACTTTATTTTTAAAAAGCCCAGAATCACAAAAGAAATAGTGACACATAATATCTGACCTTTACCAAGGGCTATTGAAAAAGATCATCCAATAGCTTAATGCCACGTTAACTACCTTAAGACAAATATTTCAAATTCAGAGATACTGATCATTTGTTTCTTTATATTTCACATATTCGTGAAAGCATTTGGTATTTATCTTTCTGTTCTTGATTTAACTCACTTTGCATGAACCCCTCAAGTTCCATCCAAGTTGTCACAAATGGCATGGTTTTTCTTTCATGTAGTAGAGTAGTGCTCCATTGTGTACATACAGTAAACTAATGTTACCTTAATAGAAAACCAAATTCAGACACAGTGAATTGTTCAGAAAACTTGTAATTATTAGCATCATTGACATTGTACAACCATGAAGTCTTGCTACAAATTAAAAGAACCTGAATTACAGAGTCACATACTATTGTCACAATCTACCGTCATCTAAGAATATATTGTTAGAATTCAAACATCATTGTCTCCCATCTACAACTAGGAAAATCAGGTTCCTGGAAATTGAGCGAACTCTTCAGTTCCACATCAGACACAGTATTCTGGGGGAAGGCTGTGCAAATCTCCCAGGAGTTCAGCAGACACTCTCTTTAATTCACTATCTTGGCAAAGTCCAAATGAAGGCTAGGAAATACTCAGCATGGAGTTTGGGTCAGGGTCTCTGAGAACATGTCAGAGGAATAGAAGCAAGTCCAGAGAAGACCCCCCCCCCTAAAAAAAAAGTGTCCTGCTTTAAGAAATTGCTTTACTACATCAAGACATACATAAAATGATTATGATGGTTTGTGTGTGTGTGTTTTCAAAAACAGACCACTTGCCATGGCTCTTCTCAAAACATTCATATTACAAATACTGATATAAAGCTGTCAAGGACCTCTCATTATAAAAAGACCAAAGCCCAAGTAGTTGGCCTAGAAGACTAAGCTACAATCTAGGTCTATACACGATCTCCAATCTCATTTCTCTCTTTGTATCTCCAAATCAAGCTCTCTGCTCCATAAAGCAATGATGCTCAACGTCCCCTCATGCAGACTATGAACACCTTGTGTTGGACATTGATTCTTCAAGGCTCTGCTTCATCCACCTTCCCACACTACCAATACCAATGTAATGGGCACCTATATAGCCCTTCCAGACCTGGCACTCATGCCTCTTCCTCATTTGTATAGTCATCCACATAGTGGGGAACAGAAGAGAGGAAGGAAGGAGTGATCGTAATAGCTGTACTTTAATGTTTGGCACCAGGAGTTACTATAAATGAAAGGGAGAAAAAAAAAAAACAACTAAGAAAATAGGTGAATCTTCCCAAAGGCACAAGCAAATCTGGTCACAGGAAAGTCAGGTCAGAGGCTGCCAGCGGAACATCTGGCATTTAGGTTTTTTCCAATTTTCAGGTTTCATAATATATATCTTTACATCTGTCCAGTTATAAAACATACTACTCTACCTTTAAATAAGACACAAATGACAATTCTTTAGAATCGTTGTCAGAACCTTGGAGGGAGTCAAACTACAAGTAATTCAGTTTGATCTACTTGCCACTCTTTTATCTTTCAAATGGATAGATATTTGTGTGCATGGTAAAAAATCAGTCTAGAAAATGTAGGCTGACTTTTTTCTCCTCCTGTAAAAGCAATCAGAAGTGACATGTGCATTTTTGATGGTGAAAGGCATTTCACTAGAGAAACATTTTCATGCTGTTACACTCGAAGAGAACATTCTGTCTTAGCCCCTAGATTCAGGCTACCCCACCCTGAAAGAACCTCAATTGCTTTAAAAATTACATAAAGAAAATACAAATAAATGTATATAAAAACAAAATAAAAATATGGACAATTAGAAAGGAACTCCTTCCTTTTCAAAGATAATTTCACATAGCCAGGCGCATTTTATTTATATAATATAGATATCCCTAACTTTGGAAATGTGTGGCATGAAACTAATTCTAACCAACTTCAGTTGTCTTCCAAGAATGTTTTAGTATACAAGAAAGCTCTGTACACAAGTACTATGTAGATGGACTCCTGTTACATCCATTGCAACATTTACTTTCAGAAATTAAACAGAACACAGGAAAAAAAGATCCATACAACACCCTCAGCAAATATGGTATTCCACATAACTACATCATAGAAATAGACACATCAAAACATGAAAGACAATTTTCCACGGTTTTTCTCTAAAAATTATATCTGTCAAAGTTTCACTATGTAACTTCCTAGCACAGTGACACCGATTTTCTTTGACAAAGCAAGTATTAACTTTGGCATTCTTGCTTTGTGCTCAAGGACTAAACATGAATGTACAGTTACTGTATGGTTGTAGTCATTTACTACCCCCAGATTATTGAAGTAAATTAACAAAAGGAATTGTAATTAAAAGTTTAAGAGCTTATTTATGTGATGTATTGTCTGAAAGTACTTGGTCACTGGAAGAAGTACCTGTAAGAAATATTTGAGCTGATTCCATGCCTAACCAAGAAAGTCACTACCATCTATATTCCTAAAAGGTTTTTGAAGTCTTCTAAACTGTCTAATTTAATGGGCAATTAAGATTTTTTATTCATGTAAAACAAACCAGTTTCAAACCTACTTCCCTTGTCTTAACTAGATGTCAGAAGAGATATGGGCATCATAGAAATCAGAACATAAGATGATGCAAGAATCTTACAGAAGTATTCAGAAATCCGGTAACCTCTGCTTTAAATGGTGCTTTTGGGAGAAGGGAAACATACTGACCTATTAATACAACATACCTTCAGTCAGAGTGTCTTTGGGGTAAAATCAAAAGTACTGACAGAAAGCCAAGGTGTTTATCACAGGTGTTTATAAGGACAGCGAAAAAATAGTTTGAAGGGCACAGTGACAGTTCTCTGCGACTACTAATGAGCTATACAATTACAGGTTAATAGCAGTATAAATACTAGTGTTACAGAAATTTGGGTTCACTTGGCTGTTAGGTTTACACAAAAACTTTTCGTCCTTGTACTTTTAGGGCCTTGGAGGGTCTGCCAGCCACTGCCTTCTTGTCACCAGAGCGCTCGGCGGGTCTACAAATGGACGTGCCCAAGACTGCCATCTGGTGGAAATGATAGAAATTGAAAATATTTTTGTGAGTGAATAAGCCTGTTGTGCGCTGAAAAGGTATGAAATATATTTGGGGAATGGGATAGTTCATTCATAACAGGAATAATAAACAGAAAATAACAAAATTAACTAAGAAATGATTACACCATATGGAAAAAAATTCTACAGAACTTTACTGGGAAGGGCATTAAAAAACACTTATAAATTGAAAGATGCAATATTTTCCTGAAATGGAACTCAGCTCTGCTAATGAAATCAGTGACACACAACCCCCCCCCGCCAAATTAAACTATACACATAAAAACTCAACAATAACAGTATTTTTATTTGACAGGAAAATCTTTGCAGTATTATTTAAAATTTCAATTGAAGTAACAATCAATTTTTGTTGAAATACAATAAGGGAACACTTTCCTTACCAGATAATAAAATAATAAAATTGACAAGATAACAAACTTATTCACAATACAAATGAAATAGAATGTCCATAGTTATACAAAAATATACAAGTATATACACTACAAGGTATTTTCAAGTAAATTGGCTCAAGAAAAGACTGTCTTATGTATTTGCAGGTAGAGAGGAGTTACTGGAAAACCATGGGGAAATATTTCATTACATTTTTGCCCTGTAGTAAGTCAAAATAAGTCCCATGTATATTAAATATTTATCATAAAAGGCTAAACTTGTAGAATAAAATATAAGTACTTACTCAAAATGTGAAAAGATTGTCATATATATATAACTTGAGGTTGAAACTGTCAAAGAAAATGATAAAATTCTAAAACTCAAATGTAAAAAAATCTCAAAATGTATTAAACTGACACTTCAGGTCTTTACAACTTACATGTAAATTGTACTTCAATTTTTAAAAATATAAAACAAAAACAACTCCCATGTTTGACTTGAAAGGGTAAATGGAAGGAAAATAGTCTTTTTGACCAAGGAGAATTATGCAGTACTGTTCAGATCAGAATATTGTTTTCTCCAGTGACTCCTAGTATAATGAGAAAAATCCTCATGCTGCCTACTGGAAAAAGCTAGCATAGCAACAAAAAGTTACTAGGTACCACACTATGATTTGGGTGGGTGGGTGGAAATATGTTGATTTTTTAGTTTTCTAGGAATTAATTCCAGTAAGTTAGATGTACTTTTCCCTTAGCTCTATCCCACAGTACCCTCATTTAAAACAAAACTGCATTAGCAGTATTAAAAATAAAGTGGTAAACTTGGAAAATAATTCATGATGTACTTAACAGAATGATGTTTCTTAAATACATAGAGCTCTCACAAATCAGTAAGAAAATTATGTTACTTAAAAACATAAATAGCATATGAATAACTTTAGTGAGACATACAATTAGCAGAATTATGAGAAAAATGTTTAATCACAATAATAAAATAATTTAGAAATAAAGTATCATGTTATACTATTTGCACCAGATTGGTAATGTGTAATTCTGATGAGAAAGTCATGCATTTTGCATATAGTTGTACCATAAATTGATGTCCTCTTCCTGAAAGAAAACTCAGTTAGTGAAGTGCTTTTGTGCTTAATTTCTTAATTCACTTTATTCAAAAATTCAAACATCCAAAAATAAAAATAAAAAACCCCAGAAAGGAATGAAAGACCTTCAACTACATCTGAAATATATTTCACTTGAAATATGAGTTTGGGAGAAATTAAACTCTCACACTATTCAGTGCTTCTGAAAAAGCAACTGTCTTAAATTAATATGTACTATTCTGATGCATATTTTATACCTATCTCTCTACACATTATATATATTTCAACTCTTGATTTTTTTTTTACATTGTGAAATACATTTCAAAGATTCCACCATTTTACCTTTCTGTGTATCATAAGAAAAAATCCTAAAATGTTTTATGATTTTATACTTACTCTAGGAAGACCCTTTTGAAAAGTCCTGTATATTACTATTTTGTCCAATTACTGTTTCTATATTAAATCTTCATGTAATCATTTTGAAGAGTTTAAACAGCATTTAAAATTAACACAGATATTTCCAACAAGAGACAAAACCCATAGTATTGAAATATGAACAGCAATGGTCAGCCTGGACAGCCCTGCCTGTCCACTGCCTAGCCAATGCCAATGTTAAGATGCAGTTGTCCTACGTTGTTTCTCAATTTCAAAGACAAAAGTATATAAAAGAGGGCATTCTGAAGGTCTAAATATTAAAATGAAGGCTACTCTTTTGGATCTGACTTGTTTCAGCACTGTCTTCAGAGTATTACAAGATTCTTCATTGCCTGATGAAGCAAAGCCAACAGCAACTTGCAGCTGCACGAGTCCCTTCTTAACCCAGCTTTCCCTTCATTTCTTTAAGTGACCCCCCCACCCCAGTACTATATTAATGGACTCTAGGATGTTGCGTTATTCCTGTTTGGCAACATCTGCCTTAAAGCAGGAAACTGGTCTAGTGGTAGTCACTTCAACAGCCCTGAAATCATATATTTTACCAGCTGGGACTAAGGTGATAAAGGTGAGGCTTGTGGATACTTAAGGAGTGATAAAAAGAAAATTAAATACATATTTCAGTGCAACATTTCAAAGAATTAAAGTAATGCAAAAGCAAAAAAATCGGTATCATACTGAACTTTCCTTTTGCCTCAGGCTCCAGTGCAGCTCTACCAGGTAAGAACAGGCTCAGACATCCACATGGCATCATGGTGGTTAAAAATGTAAGTATATTTCACAGGAACATACACAGTGATTAACACAGATAGGGTGAAGAACTATCAATATTCAGTCCTAACCTGGGTGTAGGTTGTTAGAATTCAAGAAAATGTGAATTACTATAATTTTATCAAAACAAAATTTATATGATTAAGACTATTTCTATTTTAAGGTGCCAGCATTTATGAGGCTACAGTAATGATGTGATAGTCACGCGATGAAACAAAACATCAAAAGCACAGAACTTAGAAACTAAAAATGGGTCGCATGTGTATGGAAAATTGTTTTTTGGCAGGACTGGCATAGTTTTGGCATAATTAACCAGCAGTACAGGTAAAAGATCAGATTTTGACTTTATACTGTCTCTAACAGTATATTCAACATAGATTACCCCCAAATTCCTATGCATGGGAAGTGGGAAGGCCACTTTAAAACCAAAAAAAAAGAAAAAAAAAAAAGGTGGGAGGAAGGAAGGAATCTAGGGGCCTAAGGTAAAGGACGATGGGTCTTTGATGGTGGGGGTGTTGTGGTAATGTACCTCTGAGGTATCTAGTCCCCTAAATCATATCCAGTGTTGTAAGCCAGTTACCCCTACAAAGTAAAAATGAATTTTATACCTCAAAATTAAGTATATATAAATGAGATTTCTTAGGAAATAGTATAAATCACAAAAGATTGATACATAACAAGATCACCCAGAGATAAGATTTTGTAACACATATAACCAAGGATTAGCATCCAGACTATATGAAATACGATGAGGCAAACTCAAATGAAATGGGCAAAAAGATAATTCAGGGAAGAAGAAATTCACAAAATCTAGAAAAAGATGCTTACCCCACATGGGATCAGAAATGTACATTAAATACTACTTCACCTTCATTTGACTGGCAAATTTATGAAGTCTGACAGCAAAGGAATTTAATGAACACCTTTAGGTTAATTTCAGTAACCAGCTGAATAGTTTTATCTCAAAGACTACATATTGAAGTTCTGGTTCAATTGTGCATTTTCAAAGGCTTTAAAAAACATTTTCTAGATGACTAATGATGTCTGTAAACAAAACTTTGGTGTATGATGTCAAAATAATATATACTAGGTCTCAATCCCATCAAACATTTTAGGTAGTTTACTTTGAAGTAGAAACTAGTGAAGCTCAAATTTCTGACTGAAATGTGTTGCTACTATCACAGAACTGATACTTTATTTTCCGGCTATTAAGTCATTTGAAGCCTGGCTAGAAGAAACTGCAGGGGGATAGACAGAATCATCGTTCAAAATATAAAAGCCCAACATATCTTTTATCTATATTGAAGCTCTTGGTATATTTCTATATTGAGTAAGAAATAACTCCAGGTTATAAACTTTACTGAGGTCAATAACCAAATGATGTAGAAGCTTAGATGTATTTGTTCCTTAGATTCCTCAAATTCCCTGAGGGTTTTTTTTGGGGGGGGTAATTAAAATATACAACTGTTGTTTCAGCACCTGCCACATTAAATAACAAAGCTTTCAGATAAGCTTAGCTTTCTATGTCAGTATTTTGTTTCTAAATTGATAACCTTCATCTTAGTTTAAAATCTTGCTAGGGGCCCTCCCTGGTGGCAGTGTTAAAGAACAGCACTAAGAAGCTAAAGCCACTTCAGCATGAGTTCAATCCCCGCTCAAGAGGTGATCCACAGAGCGCAGCAGACCTCTCCTGACCTGCCTGCTGCTCCCTTCAAGCAGTGTACTTCACAGTAGGCCTTTTCTGCTCCCCATTGTCTATGGTGAAGCCTCTCAATGCCCCTGCACCTCTGGCCTGTACCCCAGCTCTGTATGCATAAATAAATCTTAAAAAAAAAAATGTGCAAAATGATGTAAAAATAAACTTTGTAATAAAAAAAAAAACCAACTTGCTAGGGTTTTTGATAAGGACTAGATTATCTGTATTAACTGGATGGAGAAGAGGAGAAACCTATGAAAAGACACCAAGACCCAACTACACACCACACATCGGAAAATAAAACTGACTTGAGAAATCAAAGTTGCTGTCTCTTTTGGCTACCCAAACACACTTTAGAAATAGACACTTGGAGTGAATCACTGCTGTGAACTTTGGGAGCAAATAACCAAGGCCTGCTGGGAACAGGACTTCTAAAATATGACTGGAAGGCTATGGTCCAAGGCCAATTTTACTGGCTAGATGAGACCTCTGGAACCAAAGTGGGCAAACATCTCTTAAATTTGAAAGTTTTTATTATGGTCAAGATGAAACTGAATTCCTTCTGGCAAGATCTGCGCTTTTGTGT